AGAGAGAGAGAGAGAGAGAGAGAGAGAGAGAGAGAGAGAGAGAGAGAGAGAGAGAGAGAGAGAGAGAGAGAGAGAGGGCAGAGCACCCAAGAATGGGCCACTGGGAGCTGTGGAACAGACCGAGATCAAGGATAGGGCAGCCGAAGTCCCTCATAATCTACTGACACATAGCCTCATTGAAGGAAGCCCTGGCCAGGGTCACCTGTAGGTGTCAAAGCTTGAGAACCGCTAATGGGAGACAGAAATCCGTAGAGCATACGAACGCTCTTTGTCGAAGAACCTCGCAAACCAAACCCCTCTTTAAAAGTGATTAGCCGCGTAACCCCTTTTCGCCATTGGGGAACCTTGGAAGTATATCATGATGATCAGAGCCCTGAACTCAGGGCGCAGGCATTCTCTGCGCAGCAGTAGCGGTTCGACCTTTGCTATGCCTTCCAAAGATCTTCATGCACCAGCACAGACAGACAGATGATGGTAAAACTCCATCTCCTCCATCTTCACCAACCACAGATCAGACCCCTCAGCCATTGGTCAAATAGGACCTACCGGGATCCCTCTGATTCGCAAAGACCCATCGAAGCCCACTCCGTTTTTGTTTCGGGATCCTTTCCATACCCTCCTGATATGCTGCAAACTTGCTCAAAGACTCTGATGCGCTGAAAACTTGCAGAGAGACTATGTTAATTGCAACTGGGACAAGAAGCACCTACCTTCAACCTAAATCTCCTAACTGGACAAAAATCCAAAACCGCAAACCAACACGCTAAAGGAGAGAGAATTTTGAACTCGGAACGATATAAACAGAAAGCTATTCCTTCCTCCCTACATCAGACCAGGGTTTCAGGCCAAGAATTGGATTGAGACCCTAATCTGACGCGATTGAGGGGTATCGTTCAACAAACAAAAGCAAATCGGGCGCTCCGCTGGTCAAACGACGAGCATAGGAGCAGAGGGTATAACGAATGCATCCATACCGCACTTCACAACATTGTAGTTTACTGATGTCGACTCACTCACTGTTGGTCCTCCTCACTCTGCTGCAGCTGCGTTTGATGGCCGAGAAGATGGTGTTTTTTCTTCAACAAACACCACAGAGGAGTTCGGAAGCTGTTCACCATCTGCATGGTTTTCCATAGCTGTTGTTGTGGAAAGTGGCGGATTAGAAGCTTCCAGCGGGTGAAGAGTCTTGCCTTTGGCCTCAGCTAGGCCAACAAGGAAGTCCGTGAACACATATTCATAGCAGGGCATCTTGCCATAACCTGCAGGCAGGAAATGATACAACGCCAAAACAAATCACTTCGAATCAGTTAGTATCAAGGTAGAAAGCTGAATAGTAAATCACGCAGCTTTATTCAACAGTTTGTTTCAAGACGTCCACAAGACAGACTGTGTGCGTGTGTGTGTGTGTGTGTGTGTGTGTGTGTGTGTGTGTGTGTGTGTGTGTGAGAGAGAGAGAGAGAGGACTCTTGTGTGTGTGT